CTTTGTTTTCCCCTCTTTTCCCCCACTTTGCCCTCTTTGGATTATGGACATATTTCCCCATCGTATGGAGCTGGACCTTAAGGAGGAATGCCTTAAAAGTGAACTTTAAAAAGAAAAGGACCAAAAAGGACTCTTAACAAAAGGACTCTTAATTGTGTTGTCCATGGGTCATTTTTGTCCTCTAAAGAAATCTTTTGCTATCAAAAATGTGTTTTTTATTCATCAAATGGGCTGGAAATAACAGAAGTCATTCAGTACTATGCTATGCATGATTGTAATAAGTTTTAAGTAATTTGATTTATCTATAGGGTTTTTATTGGATTTTATAACACCTGCTGTCCTCGTGGACAAAAATGACCCCTCAGTACAAAGTGGTGCATTAGGGTAAACACCATACTCCTTTCCAAAACATCTTTGATCTTTGATCTTTGATGTATGGGGACACACACACACACACACACACACACACCCACCAAGACACAGACACAATAAAATAAAACAAAAAAAAGGCGGGAAAAAGCTCTTTTGTCACAGGTTTTGGGGCATTTCTTGTTTTACTCTGGGAGAGAGAAGCAGCAAAATGAAGAGGCAGAAGCTCTTTACTGCACAAGAGGCTTGTGAGCTAATTTTTAACCAAGCTGTTGAAAAGAACGACCAGGATGAGGATGATTCATCTTCAGACGAGGAGGAAAATAATGATGAAGATCAAGCATATGGACCACATGCTAGTTCTTTCTCTGAAGAATTCCCCACATCACCCGCTGCAGAAACTGAAGAAGAGTATGAAGTGATGGAAAACGATGAATATGATGAGGAAGAATCTGAACCTGAAATGGAAGAAGTATCAGCTGTGGAAGACTACACTTCTGATGAAGAGAAAGAATCAACCGATGAGGAAGAATCTGTGGAAGAGGACCCAGCTGAGACAGAGGAATATTTCCAGTCAAAGGACGAAAAACTGATCTGGTGTTCGGTTCCTCCCAGTGACAAACGACGCATGATGAAAGTAGAGAGAGACAAAAGCCACTGTGGTCCAACCACATATGCAATTTCTCGTATTGATGACATCAAATCTACTTTTGCCCTGTTTCTGCCCAAGTCTATTGAAGAGGTGATACTGAACATGACAAACAAGGAGGGGCGTCGTGTGTATGGCAACAAGTGGAGGAAGATGGATCCAATCGACCTGCAGGCATATGTAGGTATGTTGATTCTCGCTGGTGTGTACCGCTCCAATAAGGAAGCTACAGCTAGTTTATGGCATGCTGAGTCTGGTAGGACAATTTTTCGTGCTACCATGACACTGAAGGTGTTTCATAAAATCTCAAGAGTTATTCGTTTTGATGACAAAGACACAAGAGAAGATCGGCGTGCACGAGACAAACTTGCTCCGATTCGAGATGTATGGAACAAGTGGGTGTCTCTTCTGCCAATGATGTATAATCCAGGCACTGATGTCACTGTGGATGAGCGCCTAGTGCCCTTCAGAGGTCGCTGTCCATTTAAACAGCACATTCCATGCAAACCAGGAAAGTATAGCATAAAAATATGGGCAGCATGTGATGCCAGGTCTAGCTATGCATGGAACATGCAAGTATACACTGGCAAACCTGCTGGTGCACAGTCAGAAAAAAATCAGGGCATGCGAGTTGTTCTTGACATGATAGAAGGTCTCCAGGGGAAAACAATAACCTGTGACAACTTCTTCACGTCATATGACCTTGGCCTGCAACTACTGAGAAGAAAGCTGTACGTGGTGGGAACAGTACGGAGGAATAAGCCCGAACTCCCCCCTGCACTGGTGTCAAAAATGAACAGGGCTCGGTTCTCATCAAAGTTTGCCTTCACCGAGACCCATGCTTTGGTGTCCTACCACCCCAGAAAACAGAAAAATGTTCTTCTGATGAGCACTCTGCATCGGGATGCTGTTTTGAGCACCAGGGATGACAAAAGGCCAAAAATCATTGAAGATTACAATCGCAACAAGGGGGGTGTCGATAACCTTGACAAGGTATTGCACATTTATTATTTATAACATTTGTCATATCATAGATGGAAAGGATAATGCACTGAATTTGGGTGTAGGAAAATAAACTTACATATCTGAATAGTTTTTGGTTTGTTTCTCTTTTTTTCAGGCTACGAGTGTGTACACATGCAAAAGAAAGACAGCCCGTTGGCCCCTCGTTGTTTTCTACAACATTCTCGACGTGTCTGTATACAACTCGTTTGTCTTGTGGTCAGAGATCAATCCAGCCTGGAATCAGGGGAAGTACAACAAGAGGAGACTCTTTCTGGAGGAGCTTGGGCAGCAACTGGTGATACCTTACATCCAGCGA